AATGTTAGAGGTGGGGCCTAATGGAAGGTGTTTGGATCATAGGGGTGGATCCTTCATGAATGGCTTAGTGCCATCCCCCTGGTGATGAGTGAGTTCTCACTCCATTAGTTCACATGAGCTTGAATTGTTTAAAAGAGTCTGAGACCTCCCCCTTGTCTGTCTCTTGCCCCTGCTCTTGCCATGTGACATGCTGGCTCCTCTCGCCTTCCACCATGATTGTAAGCTTCCTGAGGCCTTCACCAGAAGCACACGCCGCACCATGCTTCCTGCACAGTCTGCAGAATGGTGAGCCAATTAAAATCTCTTTTTAAATTTTTAATAAATTATCCAGCCTCAGGTATTTTTTATAGCAACTCATGAGTGAATGAACACAAGAGGTCAAAGGTCTGTTAGTAGTTGAGCCCTGGGAGGTGATGGGACCAGAGCACTAAGGGGCAGAACTCAGAGTTCACCTCAAGCATCCATCCACATTTCCACCCTGCAAAACCCATGCACATAGCTCAGCCTCTCTCATCTACTTCTGAATCCCCAAAATGAATAGGTCTCCTTCCTCTAAGCCATGGCAGCAACATTAAGAAGTAGCATTTTCTACCTCATTTCTTCCTTGGGTACTTCTTCTTGCCCTAGACAGCTTGTTATCCACCCCCCCCCACCCCCCACCGCCTTACTATTTACAAAGTATTCCAGCCTCTGGGATATTTCAGCATTCTCCTAGAAATAAATTCATGTAGGATAGACAGATGCAAAAGTTGAAAACAAGGTATATTCTAGAAATAGTGGAATGATTAAATAAAACATGGTACATTCGCCAGGCACAGTGGCTGATGCCTATAATCTAAGCACTTTGGAAGGTCGAGGCAGGCAGATCACTTGAGGTCAGGGGTTTGAGACCAGGCTGGCCAACGTGGTAAAACCTCATCTCAATCAAAAATACAAAAAATTAGCCAGGCGTGGTGGTGGGTTCCTATAATCTCAGCTACTTCGGAGGCTGAGGCAGGAGAAACGCTTGAACCTGAGAGGTGGAGGCTGCAGTGAGCTGAGATCATGCCACCACACTCTGGCCTGGGAAACAGAGTGAAATTCCATCTCAAAAACAAACAAAACAAAATACAGTATATTTGTAACCAGAAAAACAGGTTTTATTGTTTTTATGACTTACTTCTAGGTACATTTACCTGGAAAGATTTTCAGAGCATATTGTCACTTTTTTTTTTTTTGAGACAGGGTCTCATTCTGTTGCCCAGGTTGGCATGCAATGGCATAATCACAGCTCACTGCAGCCTCAAACTCAAGCAGTCCTCCTATCTCAGCCTCTCGGGTAGGCAGGACCATAGGTGTGTGCCACCATATCCAAAGACTTGTTTTTTTTTTTTAATTTCTGGTAGAGATGGGGGTTTCACTATGTTGCCCAGGCTGGCCTTGAACTCCTGGCCTCAAGCAATCCTCCCATTTTGGCCTGCCAAAGTGCTGGGATTACAGGCATAAGCCACCATGCCTGGCCATATTGTTAAAAATAAAAATGAACTGAATAAAACACAGAATGAGCTCATTTACAGAAAACAAAAGAAAGCCACAAATGAAAACAAAAATATATCTTTAAGTGCACATGCATGTGTCTAACTCTGTAAACACATAGGAAAAAAATCTATAAGAATGCCCACCAGACCAAATAACTTCAGGAAAAAAAAAAAGAAAATAGGCTTTGATGGGGATGAACAAGGGGCTTTTATCCTATATGTAATTTAGATTATTTACAAACAAGAATGTATTCACTGTCCTGGAAACATCAGTAGCTAAAAAAAAAAGAAAAGAAAAAAAAAGGATGTATTTGCATATCACTTCTATAATTAAAAATATAATTTTTTAAATCTGAAATTATTATGAAATTATTTTCATCTTGTAGAACTTTGCTTTAACGAGTTACATACTAGCACCAGGAAGGCATAGGAACTAGTTCCCACTTGGGCAAGGGTTTGTTTATACTGCTTATCTAAAGTTAGAGCCAACAATGCTAATGATTCTGAATAGCACCAGCCACTCCTTGGCCATCCCCTCCCCTCCCACCCACAGCTTCAACTATCACCTCTATGTGGATGACTTCCAAGTGCCTCTTTCCAGACACAGCCTTTCCCTGGAGCTACAGTCCTAACTTTCCAACTTTCTCTTGAGCAAAGCCAACACATGATGTACAAAACCAGACTCCCCTCCCTAATTCCGCTCTTCTGCCTAACTTTCTCCTTCCTATGAACTGGCACCTCTTTTTGTCTCTAGAAAGCCAGAAAGGAAACTTCCTAATCATCCCTAGTCCTCTTTATCAACACATCCACCCCCAAATATCCAGCTAGCTGTCAAATTCTGATGAGTTTTCTAAAAGGTTCTTCCCAACGAATAACTCCCTTGTGTTGTCACCTACACCACCCCAGTTCAGATCCTTTCCATACATCACCAGGACTAGGAGAATCACCCTAAGCGGTCTCCTTGCTCTTAGCTGCTTTGACCTACTTACTAGATAGATATCCTATTTGGTGAAGAACCAACATTCCAGTCTGCCATGGTCATTTTGAGCCTTCATTCTATCCCTATTGTATTAGCCATCTTCCCAGCTTTGAGTCATTTGCCAATTTGGGAAATACGGCTTTATGCCTTCTCCAAGTATCTGATAAAAATGTTAAAGTGAGCTGAGCCAAGAACAAGGCTCTGACTACAGATCTCTTTCCAAGGGAACCTAGAGCTTAGTAGTAAAGTAAAGAAAGTAATTTTTTTAAAGTAGTGTTGGATGTTTTTGATCCATCTCATTTATACCTTACAACAATCCTTTGTAGGAAGTATTATTACCCCAAATTTTAGAGACTTTGAAACTGAGGCTGAGAATGGCTAGGCAAATTTGTGAAAAAGTCTCACAGTTATTAAATGGTAGACTTGTCGTTTGAACTTGTCTGTTGATTCCATAGCTCATGGTTTTTCCACCACATAGTAGAAACCTTTCATGGATCCTTACCTACCGAAAGATAAAGCACGTGTCTCTTAATCTGCAGTAAAGGCTTTCCCCCTTCTAGCTCCAAACCTATCTTCGTAACAATAGATTATTCTGTATGTCAAACAGTAATAAATTTGACATGCTCTATTTCATTTAATCCTCACCACAACCCCATGAAGTGTTATGATTATGTCTATTTTACATATTCAGAAACTGAGGCATAGATTAAAAATAGCTTACTCTATAAATCAGAAATTATTTAAAAATAAATTTTTAAGAATAGCTTCATCAAGGCCCATCCAGCCAGAAAACAGCAAAGCTGGATCAAACCTGGGCATGCCTGATTAGACAGATATTTAGGAGGCAAAATGGACAGGAATTCCTATTTGTATAATCTATCAACATGTATTTCTTGAGATCTTTGTTACATGCTTATATTGTTTAAGGGCTACAGATAATAGAAATGAACAACCAACAGAAGTCCCTAGCCTTGGCTTCACAGGGGACACACTCTACTGGGAAAGACAAACATTAGAATGGAAGGCAGCAGCGTGTCATGAATGGGAAGGTGAGGCCTTCCGGCTAAGAAACCGCAGGCTCAGGTGAGGGTTTTGGTCTCACCAAGTGGTTAGATAAAGGTTCTATTCGCGACAATGGAGAACACAGGAGAAATGGGTTTAAGAAAGATGTATTCAGTTTGGTACGTGAGTTATGGGGAGATGCTACCCAGCCGACCCGATACGCAGCTTTGGAGCTCAGAAGTAAGAAGCAGGCTGTGGAGAGGCTTAGAATCACTGGTGTAAAAGTGCAACTGCACTCACAGACATGAATGTCCTTACCAGACATTTCTTAGTAAAGATGCTGAGAAGTTCAGGTATTTGTGCCATGTGTGTCTAACTAACAGAAAGATCTCTGATGGCAAATCCTGGGTACAGAATGAGGAATACAGTAAATGTTCTCTTTACAGAATGAACCAAAGTCCTTCATTTCAAAATGAGTAACAAAGCCATAAATCAGCAGTAGAGCATTTATGTGAACTAGTTACTCCAGATGAACCTGAATGGCTTCCTTAATACAAGAGCAACCAACGTCCTGGGCATCCTCCCAAGTTTTTGCTGAGCCTTTGCACTGAACAGAACTGGTCACAAGGTGAGCATTTGCTGCCTCTCCTTGTACATTCTATTCCATTCCTTGGAATGTGCTACCTCAGTCCCAGCAGCCCTTGCTTCCATAATTCTTCAAATCAAAAATAAATTCCTCCAAAAAGGAAGGAACGAGGATGGAAATATTTAGCAAAAGAAAACACCAGGTAACAGCAACAGAAGCCTCTTTCCCATGAGTGAAGCTACAGAGTTTTAACTAAGCCCCTTAAACAAAACATTGTCAAAGTTTACAACTTAAAAATGATTCCTCACTTATAATGCTTTGTTCTATCCTTCCATAAAAAAATAAATGTCTGAAACACTGGGGAACGGAGAAAGTGAGCAACATTTTGTTTCACAAATAACAGAAAGTGTCAGGTCCTCACCCGCAAGATCATCTGGCTCAGGTAAACTCAGGCGGACAGTTGCTGTGGGGGACCTTGCTCAGCAGAGTTACCTCTAGCCAGCATAGTGCCTGACACAGGGGAGTAACTCAAAATAACTGTTGAATGGATCAGTGTTGAATGGATGAGAAAAGATGGTTGAAAAAAAGTCCAAAATTGTGGGAAAAAAGGAGACAAGGAATGAGGGGTAACATGGAAGTTAACAAGAATGTGAAGAATGCAACCAACCACCTTCTTACATCTTAGGCTTTGATTCTCCTCAGCTTCTCCACAAAGACACCCACCCACACAGTAGCTAAATCTTTGGGTCAGTTTCTGAGTCCTATAGATGCTGTCAAATGCAAAGTTAAAGTATTTGCCATTTAATGTTTAAGTTTTATACCTGTTTTCTCTTTTCCTTTTGATATGCCTTAGGAACACTTTCTTTCCCCCAAGCTTGCACCTAAACTAAAACTTGACATTGAATTAGACTATTACCAGATTCTAAGGTAATGATGAGGACCAAGCTTCATCCTGTAGGTTTGCTGCTCTTCTATTTCATGTTTTAGTCCAGAAAAGGAAGTCCACACTGTGTGTCGAGAATCCTCAAGGATGGTGTTTATCCATCTAATAGTAGAATTCCAATTCTGCCTATCTTGGGAGGAACACAAAGAAATGAGTGTCCTTGTTTACCATTTTTTAAAGGCATTTCATTTTCATCCCACAGGAAGACCATGTTAGAGGCTACCCTTGATTAACACTAAACTTCTTACAAGAGCACAAGCCCCAAATTACCCAATCCATAGTGCACACTTCATTCTCCTTACACTCACCCACATAAACAGTGTCCCTAGTCTTACCACATCTGAAGCTGCCCCTGTCACTCTTCGGAAAGCACACGGGGGTCTCCTGGAATTCAATCTATGCATGCTCAAGAGCAGCAATCTAATTTTAATTCTGCCTTTGATGACCATAGCTAAAGTAGAGCTAATTTTTTTCAGTTCAAAGTAAAATCTAAATGGCTTCTAGATTAATATCTCTACTTTAGAGACACAACTGATTAACAAACAGATAATGAACTGCCACAGCAGGAATGCAAACATGGTTTAATGATGGGAAATTTGTGAACCTGATAGAACACATCAGTGGCTCAAATGTGAAAAAGCAAAAATCATCTTAAAGATTACCTTTCTGGCATTTGATAAACTTCAACTCCCTTTCATCTTTTGCTTAAATCCAGGAATATAAAACTACTTCTTAAAAGTAATTTAAACTATTTCAAACCAAAAGCCAACATAGTGCCTTCTAGAAAATATGAAAAGCATTTCCACTAAAGTCAGGAATAAAACAGTCTATTATCCTCATTCAGTAATGTTCTGGAATTTCTGATTTAAAAGAGAAATTTAAAACCTGCAAATCATTGTTTGTGGGTAATATAATTCTCTACCTAGAAAGTACAGGAGAATCAACTAAAAAGTTAAGTTGATTAAATAAAAAATATAAAACCTTTACAAAACAATAAGTAAGACATAGAACTTCTCCACTATGGAGCACTGACCCCATTCGTTTCAGAACTGGTGTTTCACAAGTGGTCACCTGCAAGCTTTGTGCTCAAATAAACTCACTCTTAATCCTATTTTCTGAATCTCATCAGTTAAAGTTGACTATCTTCATGATAGAATGGTAAACAAGGAATCTAGGATCCGAAATTGGGTATGACGTATTTATGACGTGATCCCAATTTTATTTGAAAAAGCAAAAGTCCCTGTTCTACTGCTCCCAGCTATGTAACTTGGGACAAATCCATGAGTCTCTTAGGAGACCAGTTCCTTCAACTCCTCTGAAGCCAAGAGGGCCAAGCTTGGACCCTTCTCCTTTCTTCCTCTAAATTCTAAGTATTTGGTGACAGCATATAATCAAAAATTAATAGATATAGACAGAAGTATGTCTGTGTTAATAACAAGATAAAATATAGAATTTTAGTTGTTAAACAAAATTATGTTTTGGATTAAAGATTTTTTTTAAAAATGAGTATCCTCTAAATAAGCAATATATTTTATATCTGACTGCTTAGATAGTGATAGTTCATTAGAAATGCACAGCACAGCGAGAAATGAGCACACTCTCTTATCCTCTATGACTAATTTAATCTGGGCTTGCCTGCCTGCAACAGGAACACCCTCCACCTGTTGTCAACCATCCCATGACTTGGCATTAGAGATGCCCGGACCATTCTCAGCCAGCAAAAGACAGTCAAAAGCCTAGATCCAAGAGTGTCATGAGAGAGCATGTCTGATGTCTCTGTTGTACTGATGGTGCAGGAATTGATTTTGGAGTTCTTTTTGCAAACTTATATAGCTTCTATGCATAGCTCAAAAAGTTCCTGCCTTCTTCTCTTAGATTCAAATAATAATTGAGCATGTTTTTTCACAACTGCCTACCACTGTAAATTTTAAAACTGTGCCCAAGCCATGATGAAAGAAAAACCTCAAACACAATAAGCCAGACTGAGTTAGAAATAAATGAGCCTGCTAAGTAGTAGAGAAGTGAATCCACTCAGACCCCAGCAGTTAACCAAACTGCTCAAGCTCTGCTTTGTCATCCAAATTCATTCTGCCTTTGTGGAGGGAAAAGGAATACAATTTCATGGCCAGAGTATTTAGCTCTTGAGAATTTTATCTGCCTTTCTGAGATTGACAAAACAGGCTACTAAAGAGGCAATTCAATTCGCCCAGGCAAACATTTCATACGTGAAAAACATGCTCAATCAACGAAATCTGAGTTTGTGTGATTAATAACAACAAATGAATTGAAACTTTCTTTAGGAATGACAGTAACTTGAAATAACTCCTGTGATATCTAAATTAAACCATGTTGCATGATATTTTAATACCAGAAGTGTATAGCATGTACTTGGTCACATGCTTTTTTTCCCAAATGATCTTTTTCCATTCTCCAGATTTTCCATAGTCGGTAATATTATATAGTTTAAACCTAAAGTAAAGTCATCAAAACAGAGTCTCTCCTTCTGTCTGACTCTTCCTTAATTCTGAATATAGCAGGCTTACTGCTTTATTATTATTATGTGGCTATTCAAAAAAAGCAATAAAAATACACAAATGCTGAGTTTTGTTATAGCTCTGAACTTGTGTGCACCCATCATCAGCCCCTCTAAAAGAGACCTTTCATTCTTTTTACAAATGGAGCACATTTCCTTGAGGTTACCACACAACCACACAGCCAGCAGTGATGCCACCACTAAGAAGAGAGAGATAAGAGGTTTGGGGCAAACATCCCTGATGACACTGGCCAGTACTGTTTGACTAATAATCCTGTCAAGATTAGGTACCCTATTTATGTTTTGTTTTGTTTTCCAAGATATCTTCCTCCTCCCCCATTCAAGCAATTAGCCCTGTACTCACTGCTTCAGATGAGGGATGTCGGGGGTGGGGGGGCGCGGGGGGAGCTGGGGGTAGGTCTGCGAGTCTTTCTGGCTCTTGTTTTAAAAACTTAACACCTAAGAGCACAGAGGAAAGGGTTCAAGGGTATTAAGTCTGTATCATAGACCCAATGTTGAGCAGAAGCAGGGAGGAGATTGGAACTTAACTCTGACCCTTTCCCCCATTCCAACTCCTACTGGCTGGTAGGCAGGGGAGCAAAGACGAAGTGTCTCATAGGTCCTGAAAGCAGAAGGAACCCCACTTCCTGGCAGAAGGCAATGAGACCTCAAGAGCTGTGGCTGCTGCACCCATGAGAGGCAGCTGAGTGGTACTGTATATGAAGTCACCTATGTACAAGGACAATGGCTATTTCAGTGACAGCCAGGGAGAGAGGAAGTAAGACCTGCAGCTGTAGCACCACTCAGAGAGCAACAGAAAGGGACCCCATGAAGACATGAGGCTTAATTCTTTAGGAACAACAACAAAAATTGTCAAAAAAGCTAATACTTGTTAGAATTCTTATTCTAGACCATGTACTGTTCTAAGCCTCTGATGTGAATTATTTCATCTAATTCTTACAAAACCTATTTAGTAGGTACTACTATTATCCTTAGTGTAGATGAGGATGCTTAGGCCCAAATAGGCCAAGTATCTTTCAGATTATCAGCAGTAGAGGCAGGATATAAATGAACCTAAGCAACCTGACTCCAGATCCCAAACTTACAAAATGAAATGAGGGAAAATACAGAGTTATATTTCTTGTACATCCAAATCTATGGCAAGGCTATTTAGTTCTTCTCAAACTCATCTCTTTATCTGTCTAACAATAGGGCTCCTCTTTCATGCAAAATCTAAAACAGAGTCCCAGTATACAAGACAAATAAGAGCAGGACTGCTCGGTAGAAGCTGAAATAAATGTCTGAGATCTTCATTCCCCAGCATCTCCCTCACCCTGCAGAGGCCCCAAACACTCCTGGAACACAGTTTGAAAACCCCTGTTCCAAACCAATATCACTCTGAATTATGTGCTTGAGAGACAAAAGCAGCCCAGCTAGAACACCAACAACAGCCAGCATAATCAAAGGAAAAAGGCGAAAATAATCCCCCACTGGCAGTTACAGAGGGCCATTCCAGTCTGGGCCCTGACGCTAACCAGCTCAAGTTTGAGCACTGGAGGGCCCAGAGGTGGTGGAATTCCGGGCTGGAGCAGAGAGTCAGGAATGAAGCAAATCCAATAAACAGGCAGAGGTGGGAAGCAGAGCCAACAGGGCGCCGGGGCCAGCGGTCTGTGGTGAGCAAGGCGACTGCAGGAACAGAGGTGGGAGCGAGAGGGAGGCCAGCCCAGGAACTGCTCCCACGGCTTCAGGCTGACCAGATGCAGTCTAGGAGATGGCAACAGTGAAAACTTACGAGTATTTCAGTAACCAGTGTTCTGGGGAAGGAAAAACCAACTACATTGCCCTCTTTCTCACCAATTCCAACATTGTATTTTCCCTATGTACAGTCATGTACCATTCAGTGGCTAGTAGTGTCAGACTCAACAGCCAGAAATGCCTGTCTTTGGGAGTAGTGTGGGTGACAGTTAAGAGTCCCTGAATGCTTGGACTCATGTCCCGGATCTGTTGCGTACTAACTGTGTGACCTTGGGCAAGTTATTTACCCTCTCAGTGCCTCAGTTTCCCCACCTGTGATATGCAGATAATAAAAGTACCTACCTCAGAAAGTCGTTGTGGGGATTAAACAAGATAGTATCTATAAACTGTTCTATTATTCTACGGAACAATACCTAGGGCGAAGCTCTCACTAAATGCTAGCTATTATGATTCTCTTATGCTGACAGCTTTCATCTCACTCCTGACTGCTTTCTCTTTATTCTTCCATGCTGTATTAGTTTCCTACAGCCGCTGTGACAAATGACTACAAACTTAGTAGTTTAAATAACAGCCATGTGCTTCCCTACAGTTCTGGAGGTCAGAAGTCTAAAATGTGTTAGGGCCACATTCCTCCCAGGGGCTCTAGGGAAGAATTCATTTTCTCTCCTTTTCCAGTTTCTAGAGACTTGGCTCATGACCCCTTCCTCACATTACTCCTGTTTCCCTCTACTAAGTACACTGTGATTAGACTAAGCCCACCCAGATCATCTCAAGATCTTTAATCACACCTGCAAAAGTCTTTTTTCTCATGTAAAGTAACATATTCACAGGTTCCAGGCATTCAGACTTGGACATCTTTGGGAGATCACGATCTAGCCTACCATCTACACCTCCCCAAAGCCTAACACTGCAGACTGGAAAACTTGAGGAGCCCCAGGGGAAGAAACAGTAATATTAGTAGCTAACTTTGAGCACTTAGGATGTAACTGTCACTATGCAAAGTGCTTTAAGTGAATTATCTCACTTTGGCCTCAAAGCAACCCAGTACAGTTACTGTTGCTATTTTAGGCAAAGGTCAATTGCTCATCCAAGGTTGTATTATGTAAACCCCAGGGAAATTTAATTCTAGAGAATCTTGTATTTGACGAATACAGTGTCTGGGCTCTATACCTTAAGCCATGATAACTGGAGTGGGAGAGTCAGGTGGGAAAAGATCATTAGCCTCAAAAGGCTGTGCCACAAAAGGTATACATGCCCCCTGGCTGCAAAGAGACAGGGGGTCTAGCAGAGGGCATGCTAAACTACACACAAAAGGTCAAAGGTCCAGATCATCTCCTCCTACTCAAAGGAGAAACCTTGGGGTTACTCAATAATTTCTTCAAAGGCAAGTTTGGACCAAAAAGCTAAGAAGAGATCACTTAGGCTTGCCACTACTTGGGGAGGGGAAGTGAAAAGTCCATTCTTGCCCCCAGACCAGTCCTGCAGTTCCAGTCGAACTCCCACAAGAGAAAAGGAATTCACAGAATTTCTCTAGTCCCTAGAAAGACTTCCTACTGAGTAAGATTGATGCAGACCCTCTGAAACCATGGCAAAAGGCTTACAATCCTGGTAGTCCACAAAATGGCCCCCTATACTAGGCCCAAACCACTGGCCACCCTCCACCCCACCACAACTATGAATATGCAAGCCCCCACATGCCAAAGATTTCAACATGAGTTCAACGGTTTCAGCAGCACCCATCACTTTTCCTACCAGTTCTTACACAGTGGATGCTCCAAAGCAAGTGTGGCTGTCACAGGGTGGAAAGGGGCAAGCTAAACAATTGCTAAGCACACTTGTTATGGTGATTGAACTATCCACAGCATTTCAAAACCTCAACTGCTGAACAATTAAGCCACAGCCCTATCTGAAACTTTCTAATGAGCTGAGTTAAAGCTAGGTTTCACTTAGCCAATAAAAAATAAATAAATAAAAGATGGTCATTGGTTTTGGGTCATGAGCCCAGAGGTTAATATGGGATAGCGCAGTGGTCAAGAGAACAGACTCTGGAGACAGCCCACTTTGACTGGCTCCTGATGTTGGCACTTCCTTGCTGTGACTTTATGCAAGTCACTTGACCTTTCGTTGCCTCAGCTTTCCCATCTTCAAAATGGGCATAATCATGGACGTCCACCCTCCCTAATCCAAATTCTGAGTGGCCAACTGTGATTCAGAAGCTTTATGGATTCTGTAATGGCAAAAGTGCATATGCCATCTATTATATAACACCTCCAATGGGATCTGCAGCAAATAAAACATGCCCCTAATTTCTGAAGGAAAGATGTACGAGTAGTTCTCACCAAGTGAGAAAAATAAAGACTGTCATAATCTCATATCAGCTCAGACCAAGTTTTGTAGCCAAATTTTTGAAAACCATAGTTTTCAGAGTTTTTTGATTTTGGAAATACAGGTAAGGGATAAGATCTCTCATACTGACTGCCTAATATATAAAAATTAAATGAGTCAATATAAAGTGCTTGGAGTGGTGCCTGGCATGTAGCAAGCACAATAGTGTTACCAACAACAACTTCTATTATTTTCATGTAAAATTTGGAAACTTTTAAGTTATGACTAAATTTCATTTGGAAACCAGTACACTTTGGTGATTAATAGGTATTACCCTTTGAAACAATCCTCTAGGGAAGGATTTTCTGAGATGATGAAAATGTTCTGCATCTCCACTGTCCAATACAGTAGCCCCTAGCTGCATGTAGCTATCAAGCACTTGAAACATGGCTGGTTAATTTCATTTAACTAATTTCAATTCAAATGTAAATAGCCATAGGTGGCTAGTGACTACCATATTGGACAGTGCAGCCTCTGAGGGCTTGGTTCCCAATCTGGCCTATGAAAATCTATTTAAGCCATAACAGCTGAATTACAGCCTAAATAAAAACTCTGCATTCTGCATCCAGGGAGCAGAGTGGAACACATAATGCTAGAGAGAGCTCTGCCCTGCTTTGTAGGCCATGTGGTTGGTCTATAAGAAAATGCACCTTTGATATCTTCTTCCTCTCTTTCTTCACTCCCTACTCCGCCATCTCCAACTCTCCTCATTGGGCCTTATATAACTAAATCACAAGCTTCCCTAAAAGAACCTCCCAGCCCTTCTCCAGAAGCACCATGTTCCCAATCACCTGCCTTCCCTCCCCTCAACCAACCCCCTACTGTTCAATGCTGCAGACCTCCACTGGATCTTGGAAGGAAAGCAACTTCAGCAAACAAATTCACACTCTTAGCCGCTTCTACTTTTTTTTGGCTTTTTCTCGGCTTCTCCTTCTGAACCCAGAAGCTCTGAGTATTTTGTTGTTCTACTGCAGAAGTTCTTCCAGCAGAGAGAGAAGGAGTTAGGACTAAAGCAACTGTCCTGTATAGGCACCTGTCAGCCAGGTGTGTAAAATGCACATACACACACACACGTGCAGCACAGCCTCGCTCTGTGCAAATCCCTCCTCCTGCCCAGGCATGGGAAACATCCCCTGCTCTCTACTTTAGAAAACACTTCCACCATGCACGGTATTTTTTCAATCTTCTTTTATTCATTTAGAAAGTTATAGGTAACAAATTGCACATCAAACAATTTTTTTAAAGTATACAACAAAAGCCCAGAGAAGAATGTGACTAAGAACGGTTGTAAATAGAAAAAGAAAACCTTCATTGGAATCTAGCTTCTAACCCACTGGAGTATGGAATGTTTAATGACAGGTCAAACTTGGAGCACATCCCAGGAGTTTATGTTACTAGGAGGACTGGAAGAATGTCCCTCCAGTTCAATCTTACCTCTTACCTGGCCCCAAGGCATAAACCAGAGATGATTATTAGATATGGCTCCTGGGTATAAAAGGAATTTCCCCTATGGGGTATAAATAAAGGATCATATTAATGGTAAACATTACACAGTCCTCTAGCTCCTTTCAATTATATTATCTTCTTCTCCAAAGTAGATATTTATTTTGTAAAACCAAAGTCTTAAGATTTAATACTGGCCCACAATTATTTCTAGAGAGCCTTCTAGATGCAAGCATTGTGCCATGAAAGCCACAGCAAATGCCTTCAGTAGAGAAAATGAGACATCTACATAAATCTCTCAGAAGGTAGAGGGCAGAAAGGGCCCTGGAGAAAAAATGCTGCAGGAATCACAGCAGTGGGAGGTTGGCTGTGTTAGGCTGGATTATCAGGAAAAGCTTCCCAACACCAGCAAAACAGTTTGAAGGACGGTTAGACTTTAGAGTGGTAGATGTAGGGGAGGATGTTCCACCAGGTGGTCTAGATGACAACATCATCAGACATTCTTAGAAAAGTATTCATGAGGACATAGACGCATACAATAACCTAGAGATAGTCCACCTCTCTCCTCAATGACAACTGGGCACCTATACAAGCATCTATGGGGTCACCTGCTTCCACCTCCCAAGTCAGGATCTCAAAACTTCTCCCTAGTGGGGTTCGGCATTCTTGGCCTCAGTAGTGCCCATTCTATGGCAGTGACCCCACCCTACCTAGACGCAGGGTGTAAGAAACATGAAAACGCATCATTCCTACAGAGATCTAAATGACCTATAGGCAAATTTTGCATAATGTAACTGAAATTGACCTTAGGGCAAATAAAACTTTTCGAAGAAGTGAATCCTACTTAATATGTATTCAGGGAACTCACTATTTAAAATGACATTGCTTAATCACTAAATGGCTTTTACACTGAGTAATTGGTTTAGTCAGCTGAACTAAGTGTCTCACGGCTTAAATACAGAGCAAGAGGGCAAACGCTCCCACAAATGTACCGCTGTGCACCTAACATTCGCCACGACAGAGGACTTCTTGCTCTAGTGTAGGTATTACTGTAGCGTGAAAGGACTTGAAAGAAAAGCTAGTTAGTCTTCTAGTTACCAGTTAGAGCGGGACCAGGTCCAATACTGTATTTTCTAGGACTTGATGTACACAAATCTCTCCAGGAACAATCTCTTGAGCACTTTCCTTGAAATACTGTCGCTAAGTACCCCCACAAAAAGAGCTTGTGTTTTTCTTTGTACTGGCCACCTCCACACCGTACTCACAAACCGAAGTGGGGACCTGAGGTAGACTTCTGGAGTGAAGGCACTGGCCGGGTGTCCTCCAGTCCCTGCGAGAGCGGCCTGCTTGCCCCGGGGGACCTCCCGCCTCGGGTCCCCCTGGGAGGGCAAGGACTCTGCTCCGTCAGGTACGCGGAGTAGGGCTGCTCGCTTCGGCGGGTCGACTGCCTTGGAGAGAACCAGCCCATCCCTCCCCTTCTCCAGTCCTCAGCAACCGAGCTACAGAGTCGCCTCCTCACCTCTTCGCTCCTGGAGTCTCGCCGGCGTCCCCAAGTGCAGCGCCCCTCTGGGACCCGCCGATCGCGCGCCTCTCGCTGGCGGCGTCGGGTGTCCCAGCTACTGTGTGTCAGCTGCAGAGCCGATGTCCAGGAAAGCCCAGGAGCCAGGCAAGTGCCCGGGAGGCAGAGCCCGGGCGCGCCGCCGCTGCCCCTCCCGCCGCGCGAGCCTGCCGCCTGCCGGGTTGCCCGCCTTGCCCAGCGTTACCGTGAGCACCCTAGCGGTTCCCAGTCCGCGCCCGCCGAGCTGTACGCGCTGCCGGGTCGGCGACGGCTGCGCGGGCTGCAGCAGGGTCCCCGCCCTGGGCCGGGCTTTCCCAGAACTCGCCCGCCCCGGCGAGAGGCCGCTAGCGCCGCCGCGGGCTGCGGGGCGGCCGGGGGAGCGGCCTGTGCCGGGCCCGCCCTCGGCTCCCGCCGCGCGGGGAAGGCGGGCGCGGAGCAAGGACCCGACGGCCGCCCGTGTGCTGGCTGCTGGCTGCCGGCCGCGCGACCCCTTCCCAGACCTCTGGCCCTGGCCCTGGCCCCTAGGAGCCATCCTTTCCGGCAGGAGCCAGAGACGGCGCTAACTGGCCGCCTGGCTCCGGGAAGGGCGGAAACTCTGCACACCTCAGGTGGCGGGAATTTACTCTCACGCTACCCCAGGGGACCATCCCTGCTTGTCAGATATGGAAACTGAGGCTCGCAGCAGATAAATGACATAATCGAAGTCTCTGGAGTAGATGGCAGCTCCAAGTTTGGAATCCGTTCTGTCACTCGTTCATTTAATTCGTATTCATTGAGCCCCATCAATGTGCCCAGCGTTGTGCCAGGCTCCGGAAATACTCCTTTTGCCGGTAATGGTGGCCATCCAGGCCTGCGGACTCCAAATCCAGTACTCTTTCATTGCTCAAGCAAAACTGAAGGTCTTCACAGCTAGAAACCACAGGCTCTGCACAGAGCTTCCTTAGCCGCCGGAGCCGTGTTTATAAGTCTTAGAAGAACCAAGGATCTGGAGAAAAATCAAATCCTCCTCCTCCTCCCTTTCCCCTTAAACCTGTGCCTCCTCCCTCTACCTGTTCTAATGGAAGACACTTCCCTAGGCCTGACCTCTTCTCCTACATCCGATCAGGACACATTCCTGTGGCCCATATCGCCACCCACTGTCCTCTCCCTTGGAGCAAATCAATCCTTCAAACCACCGCTATATTATTCTTCCTCTTTTACAACTTTATGCAGAAATATTTTTTAAAGTATTTTATTTTTAGTAAGAGACGCGATTTCACTGTGTTAGCCAGGATGGTCTCGATTTCCTGACCTGGTGATACACCAGCCGAGGCCTCCCAAAGTGCTGGGATTACAGCAGTGAGCCACCGCACCGAGCAATCTAGGCAGAAACCTTCATTGGCTCCCCATTGCCCTCCAAACTAACTCCCCATGGCTGTAGTAACCCAGCAAGCCCTGGCTAATTAGGACTACCTAATTAGGACCACCCAACAGAATGTCTCTCCCACTCCAGCTCTGTACCTGAACTTAGTCTGAGCCTTCTACCTGGAGCATCACCACTTCCTCCCACACACTTAACTCCTGCTCAAGTTTGACCCTTTCTTTCAGGTCTCTCTTAAAAGTGATCTCCCCTTCTTGGAGCCTCCAGAACACAGGAGAGATTGGAGCAAGAATGCACAGGAGGCCCAAAGAATCCTTCTGTTAAGAAAAATCTGCCAGCCTGGTCCTTAAACTGACTTGCTGTTTTCTCACGACTCGGACTTTAATGAAAACTAACATGACTGCCTCCCTGGAGAGCTGGTTTCAGAAAGGTCTCTGCAGAGGGCTCTAAAGAAATTCTTTGTTCTTTGAGATCTTGGGATTCTAGCACTAGGATAATGAGAAGTGGTAATTTACTCAATCCCTGAGGCTACACTATCCTGAGCAAGTAAATAAAGGGCTGAGGAAAGAGGTAGCATCACTGACAATAAACAAGGTAGTCCATTTATTTATACCATAATATAATATACAGTATTATATTATGGTTTTATAATTCATTTAATGATCAAATAATATCAAACATCATCCATCACCTGGCACCCCCAAAGACTTTTTTTTTTTAATTTAGCACGCGGGAATAGATTGCTACAAACTGGTAGATGCGCAAGTGGTTAACACTGAATCCTCCAAATGAGTCACTGCATGATTAGTAAGCAAGGCAAATCTAGGTCTGTTGCGCAGGAAAGTTATTTGAGTATGGTAATCAATGTGGCCCCATCCCTAGAAAGGGGTGCCATCCTCAAATCTTTGCAAAGAGAGCAGGTCCAGATCAGTGTCCTCTGCTCGCCCCGTGGCTCCTTCTCTAATTGAGACTGGAGGGAAGTCATGTCCCCGAGACTGCCTCACCGCATTGGAATGTCTGAGCTAACAGTACTTCCAGCGGGTTCACTGCTCCTCTGAACAGCATTGCCCAGACTTTCTGGAGATTTTAATTCACTCCCCAACCTCACCAACAGTTGCACACAAGGTGCCTTTTTTACACCCTGCTCTCTGTTCAATGAAACACACAGACCATCTCAGGGGAACAATGGCTCCATTCAAGACTTTTTCAAAAGTGCACCATATAACCTCCCCTCTGTGGGCTGCTGCCAACCATTATCTAGAGGAAAAAAGACTGTCAGATAAAGCGCCTGAGAATTGGGAGAGCACTGGATAATTTCCATGGAAAACTCAGCTTCAGTAAACGAAGTTATGCATCTCTTTATACAAGACAATTCTGCATAGACAACAACAGCCCCAAGAAACAATGTTGTGGAGATTTTATTTCAATAACGTGCATCTGTGTTTGAAATTTCAGAAGAAAGTACACGTCTTTTGAGCTTATTACATTACATAATGATTTCCAGTCAATGGAAATTGATTTAAATATGTGATAAACATTGAGACTAGGGAATTTAAGTAGTAAAATTATTTTAAGAAATGGAACCATCTCCCCTCTTTCTTTCTGCCTCCCTTATCCTGTAATTTTCAGAAAGGCGGTGGGGGCAGTGGTCTCTGACTTCATGGTGGTGGCTGCCAACAGGAGGCCCCACACCCACTACTGCACATATTACAGAAGAAGGATTGGCACTTTGCCACACTCAACAAGCCAGACATCAGTTAACCCATTCATAAACAAACCCTTAGGTTGGGAACTGAGTAGTCAGTATGGGCACCATTGACTAATGCATTGATCTTTGTTAAACAGCTGCTGATCATCAAGCAGAGGAATTTGCCAACAGACATCTGGGTAGCACAAAGGCCAAGGAAGGAGTGAAGGAACAAGCCAGCACTTAGCTTTTCCAGTTGCCATTTCCTCCCTTTCAAAGTCACTGCATCAAACTACCAGGCTTACTATCTGTCTGCAAACAGGCTAGTGAGTTTAGACAGTGAGCAGAGAGTCAAAAACACGCTTCCTAAAGTTGCCTTGTATGTGAAGTTAGATGTACTAAGGCAGTTTGACGTTGATGAAAAACGACTGGCTTGTTAAAGCAGTAGGTATCTCTACCTGTATGATATGGTTAGGAGTGAGGATCCCCAGGGAAGTAAGTAAAGCAGGGAAAGATGATCCTAAACGTTCTCTCTCAGTACAGCTGGTGTTAGGGGAACAGACTTTGGTGTGGGACCACTTAAGTTGGACACTCAGATCCACCCCCCAGGTGTGAGCCCTCAAACAGGTTACTTATCCTCTCTGTGCCTTATTTTCCTCTAGGTAAATTGTACTTACATGATATGGTTTGGCTGTGTCCCCATCCAAATCTCGAATTGCAGCTCCCACCATTCCCACACGTTGTGGGAGAAACTCGGTGGGAGGTAATTGAATCATAAGGACGGACGGGCCTTTCCTGTGCTGTTTTCGTGGTAAAGTCTCACAAGATCTGATGGTTTTATAAAGGGGAGGTTTTCTGCACATGTCCTTCCTCTTGCCTGCTGCCATGTAAGCTGTGACTCTGTTCCTCTTTGCCTTCTGTCACGATTTTGAGGCCTCCCCAGCCACGTGGAACTGTGAGTCCATTAAGTCTCTTTTTCTTTATAAATCACCCAGTCTTGGGTATGCCTTTATTAGTGTGAGAACAGACTAATACAGTACCCCTCAGGGTAATTGTGAGAATTAAATTAGCCAGTGTATATGGGACACTTAGAACATATAAAGGTTTATTACTTAAATAAATAAAACTCAGATCTTTATTTTCATTTAAACCATGGTATTTAAAGGCCATAAACTCCTTTGAAAATTTCAAAAATCTCATCAGTCTTTTGACATAAAGTTTTTTTCTTCTTGAAACATTCAGGAATCTCATTGTAATACCTGGTTCAGAGTTGCTGTCAGCAAAGATTGGGACTAGCTCAAATTGTTTCAAGGAGCAATAATGAAAAATTATGAAAGCACTTTTTTTATTATTACACTTTAAGTTCTGGGGTACAAATACAGAAAGTGCAGGTTTGTTACATAGGTATACAAGAAAAGCACAATTTTTTAAGAAAAATTTTAGCTACACTGGAATTCCAAAGCACAGACATTAGAAACTTCTTTTTTTTCTTTTCAAGATAAGGTCTTTCTCTGTCACCCAAACTACATGCAGTGGTGTGATCATAGCTCACTGTAACCCAGAGCTCCTGGGCTCAAGTGATCCTCCCTCCTCAGCCTCCTGAGTAGCTAGGACCACAGGCAAGCACAACCTTGCCCAGCTAATTTAAAAAAAAAGACTTTTTTTTTTGTAGAGGTGATATCTTTCTATGTTGCCCAGGCTGGTTTTGAACTCTTGGCCTCAAGTGTGGAGACTTTTCTAGATGTAGTTTTCAAGGTTTTGTGTTGTTCTTAGCAGCCAAAATGCACAGTTTATTTAAAGAAACAGGAGAGAAGATAGAATATATATTTTTTTAAGTAGATACAGCTATATTTTCAGTCCCGCATCCTCTTCTAGAACCTTGCCACTGATAACAGGTGAAGTCTAATTCCCCTTCTCGAATATGGGCAACCCCTTAACTATCAGAATGAGGTAGAAGTTATGCTGTATGGCTAGAGCACCTACCTCATGGAAGTTGAAACAGCTTTTGTTTGCCTATCTTGCTCCAGAACTCTCACCCAAGAACCCAGATTCCATGTTGTAAGGAAGCCCAACCACCTAGAGAGGTATGTATGATCCCAGCTGACAGCCAGCATCCATCTTGGACATGCGGGCGAATATACCTTCAAGGGATTCTAGTCACTAACCTTCAAGCCATCCCAGCAATAGTAAGTGTAACAAATCAAAGCTGTCCCTGCCAAGCCATGCCAAAATTGCTGGGTTTTGAGCCAAATAAATGGTCAGTCTTTTAGGCCATAAGTTTCGGGACAGTTCCTTACATAGCTTTCGTAACTGGAACAATAGGAA